CATTATACAGTGGCATTAAGTGCCGAAATGTGCACCTCTGCCTACCCCTTCGGGGATAAAAAGGCGTGATGTTATGTTATTAATTACAATCTTTCAACAACTAATTAAGCAGTTTTAATCTACAAGTGCTCTCTCTCTCTGTCGATTATATTATGTGTATTTTTGTATGAAGTAGCAACAAAACAAATATCGCCTTAAAACAACTGATTTGTATTCAAGAGCGACAAAACTCTCATTATCTGAGGTCGCACGCGCCACTGTAATGCCTTCGAGCTGGCACTGCGCAGGCGTCGGTCTGCCACATACATATTGGAAAAACATTTAAATAGGTATAGTAGCACTTATGGTGAACTCTTATTTGAAGGTACATACTCCATGGCCCAAGTGGGCCGTTGTCCGGCCGGGATGCAGAGAAGCGCAAGGGTTAACGGGGTTCCGGTTCGAATCAGTGGATACGGGATGGTTTTAGTCGGTAAGGGTACACTCCTTCTCGCCTCACCCAGGGTGGAAGGAGTAATTTGAGGACTATCCCCCTTTAAAAAGAAAGATCCATACTCCATTCGAGAAAATCCAGGAGTGGACTATCTTATGTGATATTATTTTATTCTTGATGGTGTCCTTTCCTTGTTGTATTTATCGGTTATCAGGGTATGACTATGATGACATCAGCATTTTTATTATACTTAACTAGTTTGACTTTTAAAATATCTAACTTTAGTAAATTTGAAGGTGTTATTATAAAAATAATAAAGAAAATCACGTCATTATCTAACGTTTTCTCTCTGCAGATGAATAGATCAATTGTTGCAATTGTTGACAAGCAGTTTACTTGAATTACCTGCTATAATCGTATGGGAACCTTGTAAACATGTTAGACACGGGTATTTTGTCACAGCAAGCATGAAATATGGTGTTTCGTAAATAACAATTTTAAACAATGAATGGGTTTTGTAAATAGTACCTAAGTGTTTACGAAACTGTTGCTGAAACTTGCAGAAAATCATGAGTTTTCATGGTTAGACAATGCGTTGGTAAGAAATAGTTAAAGAATTTCTAATTTAATCGCTAATTGATTGAAGATTGTTCAATTTAATAGTTTTTATCTACATTAAAAAAGGCTTCAAATCCTAGGTAAGAGAATGCAGTTTTGAAAGTAGAGCGGATTGGACTAAGTTTGTACCTTTCAAGGCCCTAAGGTTGCAAAGGATAATATCTAATGATATTATCCGAGTTTTAATTTGATCATACATAGTATTCATAGTAATAGTAAGTAAGTATGACTTTCTACCATGGATAAGTCCTAAGATCTAGGTATGATCTGAAAAAGTGAGAAAATTCAGCTAATATCTTGGTATAGTCCTTGGACTAAAAAGATTTTAATTATGAGCATTTAAAATGATTATTACTTTTTAATCGTATAATTAAACTTTTTATACCAACCTTTTTATTTTATGTAGTTATGAAACTGGCCACTTTCGGTCAAAAAATTATGAAACGCCATTAGATTTTATTTTTATTTATTTTTTTTAGTTTTTAAATGGCGGCCAACTAGTTTTTTGTCTAATTCAGCCAGATGTTTGCAAAATTAAATTAAATTTGCTGTTTTTAAGTGAATAAGAAAATAAAGACAGAATAGTTTTTTTTTCGTGAAATATGTCAGCGAGATGCGCAGATGAATCACCTGATGGAAAGTAATCGGCACCGCCCTTTGACACCCGCAACAATAGACGAGTTATAACTTTATAAGTGCGTTGCCGGCCTGTACCTACCCAGTATTTATGATAAAATATCACCAACAGATTATTATCTAAGGAGGTGCCCTCTCTCGAAGAAACTTCGTAATACATAATATACTTACAACAACTTGCTGAACATGATTCATTCAGTCGATGTAGACTTGTTACTTAAGTTGCCGAGTTCGTGTCATATAGTGCAGATGGCGCTAGTGAGTAGCCGCAGCCTATTAATAATATTGTTCAATTTCAATGATGTATGGGGTTAACGAATGTGGACTGTAATGTGTTTTTAAAATATATTTTTTAGGTTCAGTAATAATTTAAATTCAGATTGGATGTGTAAACTTTCATAATGAAAAAAGAAAGGTAAGTAAGTAGGTAAGTACCTACGTTTTTTATGGAATAAGTCGGTAAACGAGCAGACGGAATCAATTTTCGGGATTAGGAATTTGAGGATTGTTGGGGATTCGGGGGTTGGGAAAGTTGGGGAAGGGGTGGGGGTAATTGGGCCTCAGATAACCTCACTCACACGAGCCTGTTTTCTGTATCACTGGTATCACTCCGGTCAAGCCGGCCCATTCGTGCCGAACCATGGCTCTCCCACACTTACTACTGTCATGCTATCTAATTTTTGAGATGCGAAGCAGTTTTAACTAGCGTACTTGTATGACCAGTATGCATTAAATGTGTTGGAAATTAAAAAGCTAAAGAAGTGCCTAATCCCGGTTCGTAGTAAGTAGATGGCGCTCTGTAGCTTCTATCTGTGCCCCAAGGCACAGGCATGAGTTTATAAGTAAACGGAATCATAAATAAGATATTTACGTAACTAGGTTGGATACCTATGTCTATTGTAATTTTCTTTAGTTGTAATTAAATATCTTACAAGTAAGTACCTACAGCTTTATATGTCTCCTATTTTAAGGCTTTCCTGTATTATGGATTATATAGGTATGATTTAAAAACTAAGGTGTAGCGTTGGTGATAATACACGAATGTGTGTGTGTCTGTATTTATGTGTTTGTAACTCTTAACAAAATTTAATTTGAAAACTTTAAGAATAGCTAAGTTAGCTAAGCGTTACACGTAAAGAACAAAAAGGATTTTTTATAGATGTATGGTAATTTTATGACCTGAGATATTACGATAAATTATTATAATTATTTAAATGTTTTTTTACCATTATATTAGATCTGAGGATAACTAATCTTTTTGTTTTACGTTGTTTTGTCTTTTGAATAGAACACGATCATATTATCTAAAATATAATTTGAATACCTAGATAGAGTTATGAAATAATCTAATTATAATTTTTAATCTAATTATAATCTTATGTTAAAATAAAACTAGACTTGGGTAAATCATTTTCTCATTCGTCAAATTACCTTTTTTCTGCACTTAAAATCCTATATGCACATTTATGAAAAATACTTTTTTGCTGAAATTTGAATTACAAATTATACAAATTATAAAATTAACAACAGTATTCACATTAACATCCATTTAAAATATATCAATCCT